TCATAAACTAAGGTTTAGTGATCCAGGACCGGTGGCATCCTTAAGGTGCTTGATTGATCAAGGAGGAATCCTATACAGTCATGGGTATATTGAGTGGGTTTGGGTTTATAAGTCAAGGATTATGACTTATAATTTTTCCTACGGGTCGGGTATTTTCCAAGTGTATATATTGATATGTATTTCAAGACTTTGTGGGAAGATATAAGTATATGTATCACCCTATGTTTGGGTCTTATATTTGAAACGTTAGTTATTCTACATTTAGTCTGATGCTCGCTCGGTATTCGTGTACCATTTTGTAATCAATGGTTGGCACCATTTTCAGGTTGAAGCTAGAGCTTGAGCTTGCTACCTACACCTTTCAAATGGGTGAAGTCACATTCAGGAAGACGTGGTTCGTGTTTCCTTGTTATCTTTAAATTACACACACTTGCTCATGGGTATTTTGTAATAAATACCTTGTTTTGCACCTGTGAGCCCACGCTTTGCTATTTGTGGCCCATGATTGACTATTGAATATTTCCGCTATTCATTCGATCTAAAGTGCGATGGTGTTATACTACCTCCGTCCCTTAAAACTTTGCCAAAGTTGACCGGCACAGAGAATAATAAAGTAAAAATTGTGTGATTGAGGTTTGTGCAAAGGAGAGAGAAATAACAAAAACCACAAAATAATTGATTAAAAAGGAAAGTGGTAAGGTTTTTTGGGAAATCCCAAAAAGAAAAGATGACAAAGTTTTAAGGGATGGAGGGAGCATATGTTTACTTACTCAGTATGATATGAACTATGTTCATGGACGCCTTGTACAATCGAGTGAGTGTGACTTGCGGATGACGTCACTTGATTGTACGGTAATTGTACAAGCGTCTAGATGAGGTCTGGGGCGTGACAGTGGGCGTTTCTACGCGGGCCACGATCTCCCTGCTAGGCCAAGATGACTTTATTAATTAATCTCGGGTAATGGGCTTCGTTCATTAATCCCAAGAAATGGGCTTCATTTGTATATGTAATTGGGCAATGGTCACAATCCATAGTACCATCAAGGTGTGTGTCTTAGAATAATTTAGATCTCTCTTAAATCATTCAAACAAAATTAATCACTAATCATGCTATTAAACCATCAAGAATGGAACCCTTATTCATGATTAACAACCTTTCATCAATATTAAATCCCTAATTAAAACCACTCGCAATTCATAATTGAATAATCAACAGAGTTGAGAAGGAAAAAATTAATTGTCATTAATTAAAAGGAAAGAACTTTCAAAATAATCCCAGAATCTTGATCATCTAAGGCTAAAATCAAAAGAAAATTCGTTCTACGCTCTCTCTCTCTCTCTCTAAGCTTCATAACCTAAAATTGGTTTTTACAGGCTGTTTCAATAGAAAAAAAACAAAAATTTAGCCGAAATAGGGTTTCTCGGTCGAGCGCACGGCACTCGTGCAAGGCGTGCGCACGTTCATGCATCCGACCAAACCACCGCTTAAAAATATCCCGCGCATAGCGTGCGTGCCTTGTGCACACGACATGTGCGATGTTCATTAGCTTCACGACAAATCGCTTTCCGCACACCGCGTGCACACCTTCCCTTTCAACCTTTCACTAACTACCTCACACGCACATCGTGTGTGCCTCGTGCACATGCCTTTAACATCATTTTCTCTCGTTTTCTCGCTCCATGATTCTGCGATTGGTCCCGTAGTCAATCCTTGAGCTTCTTTGACTTCGAAAATGCTTCTTTACTACCTCATAGACCTTTAATGCTTCTCGAATGTATCTCAACTCATCCCGAATAGTTCTCCGATGCTGGTGTCGCTCTTAATTTCTTGAATTTCACTCTAACAATATCAAAACCAGGTAAACGATGACGTGAGCTTATTAGGTACTTTGTGACACATTTAAGTTAGGAAAATTGGCAAAACCCAATCCCAACACGCATCAAATGCGTGTTGAAATATGGACTTATCAACTGTACATGCAGTGTTGTCTTCGTCGATGACAGTAGGAATATTAGAAAGTTGTTTCATACTGCATTTGTTCTGGATGTGTTGAATCATAGTCTCATAGATCGCAATCACGTACATTATCTTCCAGTTTCATATAGTGAAATCAAGCAAGCAACTCAACATGATTTGATGATGTAGTTGTCACTGTCTACTTCGTAGATATCCATGAGATTATGGTGTTGTCATAAGCACTGTTCTAAAAATCGGCTTAGGCGGACCGATTTATCGGCCTAGGCGGCCTAGGCGGCCCTAACCATATCGGCCTAGTCGTCCAAAAAATCGGCCTAGTCAGCAGCCTAGGCGTTAGGCGCCCCTCAACCGCCCGACTAGCGCCTAGCGAGTTTTAGAACAATGGTCATAAGTACGTAAACATGTAGCCTGTTTGTGATTTTTTTGTATATGCTAAATATTTAGCATCTTCATATCCGACTAAGGTAGCTTTCGTATCATTGTGATAGAATAGGGCAAGATCAGTTGTACCACAGAGATAACAGAATATGTGTTTGATTCGGTTCCAATGCTGCATAGTTGGACACGAACTGTATCTAGCAATATATATACACAAAATGTAATATTTGATTGATAGATGAAAATTTTGTATCTGCTAAATATGTATGTATCAATGTATAAAACTGTATGAACACTCGATTTTAATATGGAAACCTGAAAGAGTGAAAACCACAGAACTTTTGGGCCATTGTCTCATTTTATTAATACTCTTTATTGTATTTACATTGTATAAGAGTGAAGCTATGGAAGCCATTATGGAGCTCAAAGCTATTTTATACTTAAGGAAGAAGATCGAGGACTAGAGATAGAGAGAGACAATCATTCTTATGGAGGGGAAACCTCCTATTTATAGGGAAAAGGGGGATGAGTACTATTATACTCGAAGGGGCCGAACTGGTCCAAACTTACTGGGTCCCGTACGGTCTAGTGTATTGGGCTTCCGGAAATAGTAGGTGGGGTCCAATATCCCAACACAAGTCCCCTGATTCCTTGAATAGTGAGCATGTGAATCTACTCGAGAAATTATACCCTTGCTTGTGTTCTCCCATGGTCTTCGTTGAATGTGTATCTTCGTGTGGTGCTACAGTGCTACTAGGTCAGTGGGAATTTGCCCCTTTAGATAGAACAAACCAGTGAGACGACGGCGTTGAGGGGCCAATCTTCCAACATATAACAGCAGTCGCTATCATGGAAGGGAATGGGCAAGACTTACCGTGAGCTGAAGATGATGACGTCGAGGGGCCGGTAGTGCTGCACAAGATGTCGGTCGGTCGTCCTTCAAGAAAATGGGTGGGCCCGGCCCTGAGTTGGAGATGATGGCATTGAGGGCCAGTAGTGTGCATAAGACGATGGTCACTACCCTGGAAGGGAATGGGTGAGACATGTCGTGAGCTGAATACGACGACACTGAAGAGCCGGTTATGCTTCATAAGAAGTCGGTTGCCATCCCATAAGGGAATGGCGAGATCGACCGTGAGCTGAAGATGACGGTGTCAAGGGACCAGTCGTGTTCCATAAGACGATGGTCCTTAGTGCCGAACATCCTGAGCGTCCGTGCAGGATGGGCTTTTCTCTCACCCCTTTGAGAAGCGACCGTGAGACCGACATCTTGTACAGCACTATCAGCCCCTGAAGGAGTGAGAGCAAAGCCCATTTCGTCGAACGATGCATAACTCGAAAAGGTGACCCAAATTCTTCTCAAAGGGACAAAGGTCCCTTATATCGAATGGGGGGAGCTCAGACAACACTAGGACTAGGGAGAGCAAAGCCCATTTTTTGGATGGTGCACAACTCGAATGGTTAACTCGAATGCTTCCTGAAGGGACCTTTATTGACCTTTTTTACTATTGTGAACGAACAAATTTTGCACAATAGTAAGATAACTTGTTTTATATATTTTGAAAACAATATTCTACCAACAAATGATGTCTATTGATACTCAAACTTGTGTATAGAAACAGCTCAAGTAGCCACATGGTTTGGCCTTAATCTCTATACTTTAAGCGGGTCATTACTCTATATCTTACATGCACTTTAGTAAAAGATTAAACATGTGATTGCAAACATTTCAATTGCTTATTGATAGTGTATAGAATTGGACCGCGGGTCTCATGACTATTGGATCTGGACAGCAACCCACACACGCTTCACCGATATCATTTACATTGTTGTACACTATTTATTCATATGTACCCATTAGAATAGATTAAACCCCATTTATTAACCGATCTTTTACTATATATTGGCCTATTGGGCCCAAGTAAGGGTGGACTCGGGCCGGTTCGGGCCCGGCCGGGCCTCGGCTCATGAAAGGGGAGGCCCGGAACCGGCCCGGGTAACCCCCGGGTCCGGTTCGGGCCGGGCCTCGATTCTATTTTTTTTTTGGCTTTTCCTAATTAACCCCCAACCCTCCCCCCTCACCCCCAAACCACCTCAAATGGCCCAAAATACCCAGCCCAACCCATAAACTTAAAAAAAATTCAAAAAAAAAAAGAAAAAATAAATAAATAGGCCCGGACCGGGCCTGAACCGGCCGGACCGGTTCACCTTTTCAAGGGCCCGAGCCCGGCCAGGAATCCCAGCGGGTCAGGCCTACCCGGGCCGGCAGTTCGGGCCGGTTCAAACAGCGACCGGGCCAGTTTCGGGCCGGGCCGCCCGGCCCGAGTCCACCCCTAGGATGGACATTCTTCTCCTATAAATACCGGGGAACCATGTAAAGGGTTCAGACATTTCATTATATTGATTTACTTCTCTCTCTAGCTCTCCCTTCTCTCTAGCACATTCTTCTCCTAGATATTTCACTTATCATTTAGAAATATGCAATGTTAGGCCTCCTAAACCTTCACTTGCACAACCCTGTCCCTCTATCCATACCAAGTACCAACCATTAAGGGGGTGGGGGGTTAGAGGTCAAATAGTAACCAGAACCAGTGTCCACTTCCATCCTGCCTCAAGCAGGTCACACTCTTGATCAAACATCAAGGAGAGCAAAAAGAAATAATTAGAGAAGCTGGCATCTTGAATTCAAATGTAAGATTCCTTATGTTGGAACATTTTTCTTCTTCTCAAACATAATAAAGATATTGCCCTAGCTGAGATCAATTGGACCTGATAATGAAACCGGACAAAGAAAATGTCTCTGTGTACCAAACTACCAACGCAAAATTACAAAGTCAATCCTAACCCTACACCCTATTTCTGTTAACTAAACAACATTTCACAAACAGCCAAGTCAAATAGCAATTTACCCTTTTTTCTCCAATATGATCATAACATCATCTTCACTTGTTTGTAGTGTGGCCGGTTTTCCGCTTGTGACGACTGAAATCAGATACGAACCTAAATGTTTGACCGCAATCGGATTCCGTACAAACATAAGGACGCACTCCGGTATGGACCCTAATGTGTTCGGTTCGGGCCCAGGCCCACTTGAACGTCATCTTGCACCCTTTCCACGGACACTTCAAGGGACGCTCGTCCATGTGGACACGTCGGTGTTGAACCAAATACTTGTGGGAAAAGAACTTCTTCCCGCACCCCTTGACTGGACATATGTTCTTTTTGTGCAATTGGAGCTCTTGATTTGACCCAAAACTCATGTTGCAACCTTCCAGGTCACACGAATGTTCTCCTTCCTCGTCAATCGGGCCCTTTTTATTAATAGCCTTCTTTGGAACCTTCTTCCTGCACCCCTTGACTGGACATATGTTCTTTTTGTGCAATTGGAGCTCTTGATTTGACCCAAAACTCATGTTGCAACCTTCCAGGTCACACGAATGTTCTCCTTCCTCGTCAATCGGACCCTTTTTATTAATAGCCTTCTTTGGAACCTTCATTAATGGGCCTTTCCTCACTTTCTTAGGCTCGGGCTTCTTGAGCACTGGTTTTGCTTTTATCAGTTTGGTTTCCAAATCATCAACCGGTTTTAGGGTTCTCCTTCTGAGCCGTGAGGTAGGCCCACCTTCAATCTCATCATCTTCATTGACAATGTGGTCAACCCTTTTGTTCTTCTCAGTAATGTTCTTTTGAGGTTCTTCTGCATATGCCTCTTTCTTAATCCGCTTGTTTTTAAGATTATTACTATTCAGTTTTTCACTAGCAGGGGACCCACCTCTTTTTGTTAATACAGATTTCCTCTTTTTTGCAATCTGGTTACCTTCCATTGACAGAAGAATAGGCTTTCGATCAGGATTGAACTGGGCAAGAAAAGGATGGACCTGGTTTGACATCCAGACTTTCCCACACCATTTTCCAGCAACTGATATTTTCTTATGTTTCGCAGGACCCATCACAATATCGTTATCGGATGATGTGGAAGTAACTGCTTGAAAGCTCCGTCCAAACGCAGAGTAAATGACAGAGTTATAAGACATCTGCTTGCAGTAAAGAGTGGAACGACTGAGGTTGGCACTATAGAAAAGATTGATTCCCAATTTAACGGCCCAATCCTCATTCCCATGTATGGCTTCCTCGGTCTCTAAAGCTGACAGAATGAGTTTCTTATCACCTTCAGTGGCTTCGTGGAATGAGTTCTCACTCCAAATGTAATCACTTCCAGACTCTCCCGCCAACTTTTTTGCTTCAGCTTCTAGTATGGGATAATCTGTACATAGTTTAGATATAAGAACATTTGTATCTGAATCAATATAATTGAAAAAAGAATGCATAGGAGATTAATGAGACAAACTATTGCAGAAGATTGCACATGAACCAAGACTTGATAGATTTTTTTAAGAAGTACGCTGTCTTGAGAAAAACGTAAGCAGGTCTAAATTTCAAATTCTAGCTCACCTGGATGACAACAGAGGAAAACGTGGGCCCCTCCTATCAACTGTAGCTGTTTTTCCACTTCAACAGCATGTTGGAGACAGAAAACATGCATTCTGAAGGAATCTTCATCAGACGGCATAGATGCTTCCTGAAAGGGCACCAGGGTGTTGTTTGCAACTCCGGACTCCTTATGGGCAACAAATGGGAAATAATTCAGCCTAGCTTGATGGGACTTTACACGATCTCCCAATCTACCTTGCAAACCATTTGAAAGCACTGATATTGTTTTATCATCACTTTCCTCATAAACAGAATCGTCAAAACTGCAATGATTTCCAACATCAGGTTTTGCTCTCCTCTGTCTGTGATCAGCGTAAGGGTCAATAACGAGCTGGGGAGGAATCTCATCATCAAGAACTAGCGATCTGCGCTCACAATATTTGACAGAAGCATTATCAGCTTCCTCCTCGGAGTCAGAAGAATCACCATAGGTTGAAGCCAACAGACCAAGGGAAGAAATGTCTTTGTGTGTTCTACTAGTGGAAACCACCCCTACCCTTTCATCACTGAGTAACACGGTTTGATTGTTGGATTTTACTGGGACATCAAATGAACCATCTTGTGCTCTCCTCGCCATCAATCCTACATTCACATGAGATGTTTGATGAATTAATATTGCATCTGATAACTTGTCAATCATTTAAAATCACAACTGAAGTAATCACACACTAATAATTTGTCATTATTGACCACATTTGACTCTACAAGTGTAAGGTAAACCTAACTGGCTAGCTTCATGATGATTTCCTAGAAAGTTAGGAAAGTTTTAACATGGATCCAGAGATGGTGATTTGTGAGGCATCCACGCACTCCTTCTGCTATCCAACCCGGTTTGGGTTGGGGTAACGAGCAACCACATCAGTTATGTACTGGGTATGAGTCTAACATAAAAGTGGGTCAGTCAAACCTCAGCCCCCTTTTTGGGTGGGTTAGTACGCCTAATTAACACTAATGATACCTGAGGATGAACATAACGTCGGCACATCTGTACTCTCATTAACACCTGGGGTCCTACCACTGGCCGCTCTCCATTGACTTAAGCTCTCGAAGTCAGCCGAGAGCAGACAATGAGCGGCTTCTTTCGTCGGTCGAACAATGGCAACACAAGTGTAACACAGTATACCACAAGTCACACATGAAAACAGTCCATGCTCAGATGACCTATCGCTGTTATAAGCTCTTTCAGTCGACGCATTTATGTTCCCATTAGATGATCTAACATTATAACATTTGCCAGAAACACTAAGCCTACTGCTTGATGAACAAGATTTTCCTCTAGTTGAACGGACAGCAGATGTTTGTTTAATTCCCTGTTTCCTGGCAATTGACACATTATCAAAACGTAAATCCTTTGTCGTTTCCTGTTCGGGCTTTATGTTAAGCTGAGATCCTTGTAAATTTGCAGAATTCCTAGGAAGAAGTACAACTGAAGATCCTCCTCCAAGAACGTGAAGAAGAGAATTGTTTTGCACCAAATCCTGAACAAAGAAATCCTTGACTAGTGTTTCTCCTTCATCTTTCTTCTTCTCCTTCAACCTTGAACTCCTTGGTTCTGATCGGATGTTCCTAGACATACTGTATCAGAAGATTGAAGCGGCTAAATACGAATATTTCACATCAATATGTACTCACATTGAGCTCAGATATCAATGTGGAAACTAGACAGCATGCTGATATCTTTAATAACAAAAACAACACAAACAAGTTTACAACAAACAACAACATCCAAGCCTTATTCACAAAAGATTTTGGGGTGGAAATAATTATTCATTATTCCAGTTGAGGGTAAGAGCATTACTTGATATGCTTATATTTGCAGAATCCTTATTTATATGGCATACAATAATGTGAAAGAAAACTTCAAAAGGCCACACCATAATTCTTTTTTAGTTTTCCTTCGATAATGATATCAAAGGGATTTTTAGTAATGGAAACACTATTGAAAGAAAACTTCAAAAGGATAAAATATGATTCCAAATCTTTTACCAGTAGCAAGTAGCAAAAACAGTTTTATATAAACAACTTTAAAGAAAAACATATGTTTTTAAGAGACTATTGTTCTACCAAACTTCACAAAAATACTTTAACTAAACTTCTTATATTGCATACTCTGTATAAGTTAGTTACCATATTAATTCCATACATATCTACTTAGGACTGTTACCATTGGAAAGAACCCATTATTAATCACATAAACACATATTCATAATATCATTGATAGAATGACAAAAAATCAATTAAAATAAATACACACAAACACACACATTCTGATGCACTGACTTAGAAATGTTATTTTTTAAAGGAAAGTTGAAGAGGACCAGAAGCCAATTAGCCAAAGCCTGTGATATAAAATAAACAAATTACTGCATAGGGCAGTTGAGAAGATCATGTAAGTTCTATCAAGACCAATTTGCATAGAAAACAAACCTTGAACAGAAAGAGAGTGCTAGATCGTAGAGCAACTGGAAGTGAGAAACCATAGGGGGGCAATTGATCGATGCCCTACGAATTGCAGCATCTTTTGCAACCCTTAACCATCCAGGAGTGGCAATATTAGAGGCCTCTCCACAATTAAACCCTAAAATTCAAATTGACATTGCGAAATACTTTATCAACATCCTGCCTAAAAAAACTTGCTGGCCCACATCCAAAACCACATTAAACTGTGGCACTATGAAAACCAAACTAAGAAAGATGATTATCTTACCATGACTAAACCCCGAGTGATAAGCTCTTGGAAAGGTGACAACAAATTCTCCAACATCTTGCACCAGCCTGATCCCACAAAATGCAGTATGGTCAGAGTCTGTCAAGGTTAAATATTACATATAGTAATACTAATTTTTGATGACAGAATTTAAATTTCCTACATCTTCTCTGGACAAAGACTTGCAACTAATAGTGTGTTTTAGAAAATAGCTCACAAGGCGTGCTTTTGAGGCTCGCCTCACACTGAGGTGTTCACAATAGATATTGAGTCTTACACCCCTATTGCAAGTTAAGAGGCTAACATCCCGAACATTTGAGCTGTACGCCTTGAAGCGTGCCTCACAGCCACTCATAGCGTCTTTTGAAGCAGATTTTATGTTGCTCAGATATTTCCCGGGAATGAATTTTGTCCACAAAAAGCTCTAAATCTATTTTGAGTCTTTTGACAGATATTCTTCCATTCTCTTATTTCCAGCAACATTATAGGTTACAACTTACAATTGCAGCTGTTTTTTATTTCTTTTTATTTTAACAATAACAAAAGAAGTAACAGAACATCTTTAATTTTTCCATTTTATTCAAATTGATCAAAAATAACAAAATCTCTGGGATCCAGGCATTTTTTTTCTGTTTTGATTATCTTAACATCCTTTTCTGATTTTATTAAGGATGATAAATCATTAAAATTTCCTTTAATGAGTTAAACATATGATAGTGGTGTGCGACGCATAATTATGACTCACTTTTATGCATGACTGATAATATATTTTTTATTGTTATTTATTTTGAATTGTGTAAAGTTTTGTATAAACTTTGAGGGCTTGCGCCTCATGTTGCAAATTCAAAGCGCCTTTTTAAACATGATTAAAAATAAATTAATTTCCTCATGCCCCATAATCTAAATATGGAAACAATGAAATAACAGTAAGAAAACTAGGTAAAAAAGCACCATAGTAGTTAATAACAAATCAGTATAGGCTGTGAGGGCTGTCTAAGTGGAAAACCAAATCAATACTTCACCTGCAGCATGGAACACCGGAATTAAGCAGCACTTCTGGTGACATGACAGTGGTCTTCTCTCCGAGGGTAGCAAAAGTAACTGCGAAAAATTGAATACTAAAAAAGGTAAATCAAAATGCAAATAAAAAAACTAACAAATAATTCAGAAAAAATAAAAGCTTGATGATTCCACATTGTTGATACCAGCAAGGGAAAGAAATGCTTGAAACATTTTATCACAATGCAGCCCCGAATTTTTTCAAAGAAATTCATAACAAACAATCACAAGTATAGCCCCGTAAAATCCGTTTCCACTTTCCAATTCCACTATAAACTTAATTATACCTCGAAAGTTCAGACACCATTGTCCACTCTAATTTGTATTGACTGCTCTTGGGGTATAAAAAGTTTAAATATAAAAAGATGGCGATCAGGCGTGATAGAATGAAAATAGAAATTAACAATCTGCATCAATATTTAAAATTCCTGATCCATGCCAGCTATTGATCACCTTATGATCTAAACGTCATTTGAGTTCAATTTAGTTTCCTTTTTAGGTCATCTGAAATTTTGTTATTCAAAATAGTTTCAAGAAGGTCCAGTGAAGTTTGACCAGCAAGTAACCAACTAATTGATTCAAATGCTAACTATTACGCTATTACTAGCATTAGTACTTCTGTATTTACTTATGAAGAAGGAAGCCAAGTAACTTCAGAGAACTTTGTAAATCTTTATAAATGGATAATAGAAGAAAAAACAGTGTTCATTACTAAACATAATTTTTGCTTAAAAATATTTGCTCGACCAAAAGTTTCCATCTAATATAAACTGGTCCTCTAATTTCTCCCAAAATCATGGGAAAAAGTTTGACAACTCTAGCCCATAGTCCTCATCTCAATTAACACGAAACAGAGTAACACCCTCTATTTCCAACAAAGTTTGGGAATCATTCTACTATTCAGCATTTCAATTAGCATTATTAAAAATAACATAACTCTAACGACCTGTTTGGACGGGGGCCTTAGTCTATATCTCAATAAATTGAATGTTTCTAAAAAGGAATAAAAAGCTATTGAAATCTTATATGATCACATACTATGTTATTCTTATTCTTTCCTTTTTTGTAAATCACAAATACACACAGAGAACCTCATACACATATACACACGTTTATCCCTCCAAAGCTTTATCCCTGCCAGCCCCTCCATCCAAAGAGACCCTAGTGTAGAATACAAAGCAGGGGAAAGTGTCCACAATGCAAGGAAAGACAGAGCAAGTTGACAAAACAAGGACAGCTCACCAAGGGGGTTGATCTCCCCGCCATAGCCATGTACCCGGATCACCTCCTCAAAGGCCACTGCAGCATCTCGAGGAACACCATACCATGTCTTCCCTGCACCAGTATGCAGGTAATTCAAACTATGCAAGTCATGATCTTCCACATGCCAAGCAAACCAACTGAACATCATAGCAATGTACACCATGGGAGAAGTAACTCCAGGTATCTCTTCCTTCATGAACTTGAGCAAAGAGCCATTGGTCCTGGAAACTCCTCTCATATTCCACTCTGTCTCTGCCACTGTCACCCCTTCCCCTACAGCCCGACAGGAATCTGCCTTCTTAGGAGCAAATGCGGAACCAGGAATATCATTGGCGTACTCAACAGAGAATGGCTTATCCACTGTTGCCTTCCAGTAAAGGGACTCAACCTCCAAAGGAGGCATCCCCTTCTTTGAGCTCCTCTTGATGTAATTTTTCTCGAAACCTTTGGCTTTGGCCTCAAATTGCTGAAGCGTGTACTTCTCCCCACTCTGCCACACGGGTTTCTGCACAGGCCGGTGCTTCCTGGGGCAGAACCCGATCTGTTGCTGCCGAGTAGTGAATGTGGGGCCACTGGAGCCAGGTCGAGCGGAAAGCGACTTATTAAGGTTCGAAATAGCGGTTTTCTTTGGCGGGGCCGCTACAGGGGGAACAATTTTGCAGATTCCATACCTTGAGGCTTCGGCCTCGATCTTGAAAATGTATGCAATTGGATCTCTGAACTCTTCTAGGGTGGGATGGTACTCTGGAGCAAGTGGTAGGGTTTTCAGCCATGAAAGCACCTCAGACCCACTGCAGCCTTCACCCATTAGGTCAGCAACACATTCGCACACGGATATATATCCGAATGTATGCCTAAAGATCTAGGAAGTGTCACCGTCACCGCTTGATAAGCATCATAGCTGCTTTCAGGAGAGCGGAGAATAAGAAATAATGGGTGGAGATTTAAGAGAGAGAGAGAGAGAGAGAGAGAGAGGGGTTGAAAATTCAAAGGTGAGATGGCCAAATTTGCACACTGTTTATTAAATGAAGATGATGAAGAAGGGATACAGATCGATGGATGAATATGGATAGCTACAGACGACAGATATCTATGTATTCCTCTGTTTTGGTGTGTGTGCACAAAAAGAACAGAGGGGAAAACGGGGCGGGGCAGAGTACAGTGAGGTAAGTGTTACTCGCTTCACTTTTGTATGTTAAATGCATCAAATTTAGGGGAGAAATCAGGTCGGCTTTTGGCTAGGGTCGTAAAAATTACTCCCTCCCTCCCATATTTATTTTTTGTTTTGACCGGGCACGTATATTAAGAAAGTGGGAAATGTGTGGTGGAGAGTTGTGCAGAGGAGAGAGAAATGTGTAAGAATGGTTGTGAACCACAAATTCTTTGCCAAAAAGGGAAAGAGGAGATAAATTTGGGACGGACCGAAAAGGAAAGAATGAAGATAATTTCGGGACGGAGGGAGTAGATTCTACATCTTTTAAACTCAAATTTGTTGATTTGAGACTGAAAATAGTCCAAAAGAAAACATCCTTAGTCCGCTTGAGATCAAACAAATTATAAGTTGTTTTTGAAGTGTTTTGCCTATCTATATTATACTATCGTATTTTCTATTTTTAGCTTAATCAAATTGGCCTACAAAAATGTTAATTAGTTATTTGAGGAACTGAATTCTACCAATAAAGATGGTTAATTTTATTCTCCTCATCTTCACTGTGTTCTCCATTCTTGAGAGATGATAGCTATTTGTAGCGATCAACAACTACATTAGATATAAACTATATCGATACCACCGATGAAAATTGTCATTATTACTAAAATTATTATTTCTTATTGTTATTGGTTGCGTTTAGTGACATATATTGTTATTCTATTACCAATTGATATGAAACAATAGAGATGCCTTTCAAAAACTACATAGAGTAGGTAGTGCATTCACTTCTTTGTAATGTCATAACAAGTAACTTCATACATACACAAAACTAATTTCTTAGTTCTAACCTAAAACCGGTACTAAAAACTAATTGAGTTCAATTGACTATGATTCCTCTAAAACGGGACCAAAACTTGTTTTGAGACCGATTTCGATTCCTCTTAACGGTTTTAGTTCCTTTGACTTCCAATTTAGGGATGTCAAAAAAAACCGACCCGCAATGACCCGCCCTGGCCCGAGACATTTGGGGCGGGTCCGGCCCGCCCCGTCTTGCAAATGGGGCGGGTCCACCCCGCCTATACAATGGGGCGGGCCCGGATATTAGTATTTACCGGTGCCGCCCCGACCCGCTCAATATATAAGTATACATACTTTTTCTTAAATTATACTACAAATATACTTCAACATACATATGTGTGTATACAATAATCATATTTTTTTTCTTATAATATATCAATATATATATTAGAATGAGTTAAACGACGGATTATCAATGTCTTCTTTATATATAGCATTTTAATACATATATTCAATTATTGATATAAATAAATAGATTAATTATGGGATAAGGGTCAGATAGGGCCTCGAACTCGAAAAACAATGTCAAATAAGGTCATATTTAGGATGCTCTGTCCGGCCGACGCCATTTGGGGCGGTTCCAGATGCCATTTTTTGATGAATTTTTTTGAGCATCTTCCTCATTAAGTCTAGTTTACCCATACCAAATTTCAGCTAAAAATTCAACCGGGAAGGTAGTCAAATAATTTTTTGAAGATAATTGTGAAGTTAAACAACCCCGTACATTTCGGAAAATCATTTGACTACCTTCCCGGTTGCATTTTTAGGTGAAATTTGGTATGAGTAAACTAGACTTAATGAGGAAGATGCTCAAAAAATTTCATCAAAAAATTCCATCGGGAACCACCCCAAATGGCGTCGGCCGGACAGAGCATCCTAAATATGACCTTATTTGACATTTTTTTTCGAGTTCGAGGCCCTATCTGACCCTTATCCCATTAATTATTCAAGTCTGAGTAATTTTTCCTTAATTTTTGAAATTTTTAGCGTATCATGAATTTGATTTAATATATTAATTTTTAACTATTATTTAGAGAGAATCTTTATGTAGATTCATTGGGTCAACAAGTTTGGATCCATCCAGGTCACGGGACAGGGCGGACCCGCCCCACCAAGTCACAGGGCAGGTCCAGGTCTTGCGGTACCCGCCCCGACCCATTGTCATGCCTATTCCAATTCCTCGAAAATAGGTTTTAACTATTGGCTTATATAACCCAATATCAAACCCCACCCTAGAACAAGAGCCAATATACCCGATTAAGGTTCTATTGAGTCATTGACTCAAAACTAAGCCTAATTCACCCCTCTGATTATGACCACCCAGACTCAGGGTTGCAACATTTCTCGAAATAATCATATGCTACACACGTTTTTTTGAAAGGATATTACCCTAAAAGGAGTAATAACAAGTGTTTCACTAAATACTATCTCCGTCGTTCTATTTTGATTATCCTACTTTCATATTTGAACTGTTCCAAAATGAATGTCAGGTTTCTTTTTTTGACAAGAAAAATGTTGTCCTTGTCATTTCACCTTATTATACTCAAATCTTAATTACAACTTTTACTTTTCAACCACTTTATTAATAATCGTGCCAAATTAAATCAAGATCACCAATGTGACAGAGGTAGTATGCGTTTTCCCAAATGGAGGTAATTATTATTGTCGTTACGAAATCATGTTGTCATATAATGAAATTAATACGTAGTAATTTAATAGGCATATTAGTGTGTACTAGTAACATAATATAAAAATATGATTTTAGAATGGCATTATTTTATCCCTTAATAACATAGTACTCGTATGTATATACGGAAACGAACTTGTTTTTACTCCTTTTGAAAAGAAATTCCTTCTTGAAGCTACCTCTAGTTAGACTCAAATATTCCCACAAATTTCGAGGCAATCTTCATGGTGAGAAACGAGTATATAGGACCATTTTGTGAAATAACATTAACTTGAGGCCGTAAGTGTTACCCTCAAGAGAGTTCAGAATTAATTACAATAAATATAATCAGGTTATTTGTAGACATTAGTAACAAATGCAGTGAGATGCAACAAGGGTTAGCATGATTCTTATAGTCTTGACAATATTTCATTGGGAAGTCACCCTAGTGATGTCAACTAGTTCACCTTCCTGAATGGCTAAATGTGGTCTAGCAGTTGAGTAGCTCCTAATTAGTTGGAGTTCAATGTGACACACCAGATAAGGATAGGTGACTGTACCCCCACCCCCCACCCCCACCCCACCCCATCCTCCAAAAAAAAGTTGAAATACAGTCAGCTACTGCTTTGACCTTGCTCCATGCCTCCATTTACATTAGAGTCGATAATCCCAGATAGTTCAAGGGAAACTGGGCAATGGTCACTTCCATAAAAACCTGCAACATATTCAAAATTGATTTACCTATTCAAGCATTACAAGAGCAGATAGTCTTGGTATTAGAAAATACTACTATAAAGTTACAAGTACTATATTCAAAGGTTTTTGAGTCTTCAATAGCTGAAAGCTAAGACACCAACTGGTAATTGACTTTGGTGTGCCGTGTGCGGAAAAAAGGTATGCCGGAAAATCTAGGTATTGATAGGAATCTGGCTTAGTAGGTTAATAATAATAGTAAGTGTACATGTAGTAGTATAAATAGAAGAAGAGGGGAGAAAAATGGGTAGGCAAGTATTCAGTTGAATTTGGCTAGGGTAGGAGATTGGGCATCTCGAATGGTCCACTGTATTCCTTCTGTAAACAACGAATCACTTCAATAAAGCTTCTTGATCATCTTCTTGATCAATTCTTCCTAATTTTCTACTATTCTTAGTTGAATTATACTAGTGTTCTATCAATGGTATCAGAGCAAGAATGGAGAAGGGGGTGGATTCGCTGGAGAGTAAGCATCGATGAAGAAAAACTTAACAGACGTGAGAACGATGGCGGAAAACATCGCCAGACAGCTAGCTGCGATGGAAGAACACTTCCAGACTAGAGGACATTCGCGATCGCCAAGATCTTCTGTCAGTTCGCAATCTTCTACGCGAACTACTGTTTGTCCCTACAGTTCATCATCGCAAGTCGACTCCCACATCCATTCGCAGAAGTCTTCGCAGTCGCGAACTTCATCATTCGCAAGCAGTTCACGACCACGTGCGACGTGATCGAGAGAAGATTCCAGTCCGCAGTCGCTAGTCCAGCATCTACGTGCGCAAGTTTGGTCGCAAACTGCTTCTCCAAGTTCATATCACAGTTTGCAGTTGCGAACCCCATCTCCCAGTTCGCAATCGCGAACTCTTTCTCTCGTTTCTCCAAGATCGCAGACTTACTCACTCGCGGACTCGCACAACTTGTCTTCGGTAGTCATCTCTCACCAGGCGCAATTTTCATTGCTTGGAACTCCACCACCTAAACGGAACACTGAGTTGAAGCAGACGTTGTCTAAATCTTCAGTTCAAGAATTGGAGACGAAGGATGATATTCGGGAAGGGGCAGAAAGCGTTGATTCACCAGTTAATCTAGAAGAGTCTGAAGCGCACAAATCGGATAATCTTACCTATGAAGTTCGAAGGTATACTAGTGCCTTAGACCGAAACCCAGAACATTTTAAATCTTGGATTGGTAGAGTTCCGGAACTTGGATTGGGTATTCTAATGGAAATTATGCACCCTTGTTTACTGAACAACAGTTTGGAAGGGCTGAATAAGATTGATGGTATTTCTTCTATGAAATATATTCAAAATGAAATGGGAGTAGAAATTACCTGAAAGTATAAGGAAAATGCTATGGTTTCAGATTCTGATAGTCCTGAGTTCTTCGGAATCCACATAAATTGGAAAGTTGGAAGAGAAAAGAGAGTACAAACTTTGAGTACTTGGTGATTATCAACACACTTGCTGGAAGATCTTATAATGATTTAAGAGAGTATCATGTGCCTCTTTGGGCTCTAGCTGATTATGCATCCAGGAATCCCTTGCACTCTGGTACTCCCTTTCCTAGCTGGAAATGGAAAATATCTTCAGGCAATCTATCTAAGTTCTTGTTGACAATTTTGGATAGCAAGAAGTGTGTAAAGGTAATGATGCATAATCTGGAGGAGTTGGTGTGTGGTGTCATTGTTTTTCTACAGATAAGAAAGCAGCACGCCCACACCAGGAT